GACTCTAATCTCCACCTTTCTGTGCAACAAACGATTGAAGAGAAATCGAGTCAAAAATTTGAACATTTTATCATGAATTGTAATGGTGCCCCAAAACAACCACACCAGCAACCATTTTCAAAATTATCCCGGTTCTCTTCTGTTGATAATCTGTTTGACAGCGAGTTCAGAGACTTTGGGCTGGCAAACTACGAAAACGAGCTTAATCACGCCAAAAAGTCCTTTTTAAAAACTAACATTCTTCGAAGGCAGCGACCAGTGAACAGCTCACGAGAAGATCGTATGAAGTGGTGGCAAAGGACAAATGCCAAAAGCTCTACTACTTCATCATCTAGCAAGTCTAAAGACAGCAACTCTGAAGGGGAGTACAGCATTGACCATTCAGTGCTGTCACCAGCACACACCAACTCTACATCGGAGGATTGTCGTCTTGAAGAGATATCAGCACAGTTTGAAAAAGCAGACGACAGTAGTGGCGCTTGCACTCCTCACGATGTTCCCGATTGGAATGAGCTTTGCAACAGGATATATCGATTTCGAATAAAACCTTTTAATCAGACTTTGTCATGGAATGCTTTGGAATCAAATTCCAAAAGTACTCCTCCTTCACTATTACTGCAACCGGAAAAAACTTCCAACTCTTTAAATTCTACACTTGAAACAATAACACAGTCTTGTCGACAAGAACTTTTCAACCAAACCTCACCATCGATCATCAACTGCACTTCTAGTCAGTCAAAATGTGATACTGCACAAACTGGGTCATTGCTGCTGCTGGACAGTGGTACTACGCCAGTGNGCACACACCAACTCTACATCGGATGATTGTCGTCTTGAAGAGATATCAGCACAGTTTAAAAAAGCAGACGACAGTAGTGGCGCTTGCACTCCTCACGATGTTCCCGATTGGAATGAGCTTTGCAACAGGATATATCGATTTCGAATAAAACCTTTTAATCAGACTTTGTCATGGAATGCTTTGGAATCAAATTCCAAAAGTACTCCTCCTTCACTATTACTGCAACCGGAAAAAACTNTTTGCAACAGGATATATCGATTTCGAATAAAACCTTTTAATCAGACTTTGCCATGGAATGCTTTGGAATCGAATTCCAAAAGTACTCCTCCTTCACTATTACTGCAACCGGAAAAATCTTCCAACACTTTAAATTCTACACTTGAAACAATAACACAGTCTTGTCGACAAGAACTTTTCAACCAAACCTCACCATCGATCATCAACGGCACTTCTAGTCAGTCAAAATGTGATACTGCACAAACTGGGTCATTGCTGCTGCTGGACAGTGGTACTACGCCAGTTAAAACAAAGATTCAATTTGACGTTAAAGTGTTCATTGAACGTGTTGCAAAACGTATCTATGCTTTCAAAAAAACATCTTCCAATAGAGAATCTCTGGAAAAATCCATTGAGAACATCGAGCTATCGCAAATAGACGACGATGATGATGGCGATGGGCTCTACCAGTTAAATCAGCAGCCTTCAATTCGAGCTTACAAAACATTTCTTTTAGACCTGTGCAAAGAGCAAAGCAAGGGCACCTTTTGCACTGACGCCAACTGCCCAATGCCACACTTTTCTCTAATGTTACCAAATCGNCGCCAGTTAAAACAAAGATTCAATTTGACGTTAAAGTGTTCATTGAACGTGTTGCAAAACGTATCTATGCTTTCAAAAAAACATCTTCCAATAGAGAATCTCTGGAAAAATCCATTGAGAACATCGAGCTATCGCAAATAGACGACGATGATGATGGCGATAGGCTCTACCAGTTAAATCAGCAGCCTTCAATTCGAGCTTACAAAACATTTCTTTTGGACCTGTGCAAAGAGCAAAGCAAGGGCACCTTTTGCACTGACGCCAACTGCCCAATGCCACACTTTTCTCTAATGTTACCAAATCAATGCCAAAAGCGGCCCTGGCCACTTACTGAAGATCTATTTGTGCAGGCGCTGCAAAAGCGAGTAGAATCTCTTTTAGAACTGCCCAAAACGGATGCCCAGCAAGGGTCATTAACGACTCGAAGTGCCCAGCACTTCACTGATCAGCGCAAATGTGCGCAAGAAGTAAAGCGCTTCGGGCTGATGGCTTACTGTCGAATGCAGCGGAAAATGGACTTTGTCGACAGTGTGCTCTACCAGGAAATGGTCGAGGATGAGCACCAGTGGTCTCTCCAATCCACTTGACTTGTTTTCATTTTTATAACTTGAATTTGTGTCATTAAAAAGAGTAGATGGATGAACTAGAGAAGTTGGCTTTCAAAAACTTGTAAAACTCCAGTCAATCGATGATTGCTTGACACAGTGCTGGTGGTCGACAGTGCTGGTTAGTACGGTGCAGTGCAATGTTTTGGCAGACGAGTCTCTCTCTCTCTCTCTGACACCGACTGGCCACTGACTACAGCTGCGACGGCGGCGGCGGCGTTTCAATTTTCGTACCGTTCCACTGGCCAGTGTGTGTTTGTGTGGGTTGTTGTTGTTGTTCCGTCCAAGTGTGTGTGCTCTATTCGCGTGTCCTCACTGGCGGCACCAATGGAGGAACCCAAGCCGAAAGTACCTCCCCGGTCTTCCCTACTCAAGAAGCCTGCTGTCATTGAAAATGGATCCTCCTCCTCTCCTCCGCCCGTCCACTCTAGGCCTTCGTTGCCAACAAAGCCAAAGATACTATCTCCGAAGCCACCAACGCCATCATCATCAGAAACTAACTCAGCAGCCTCAACCAGTGCCAAACAATCTAGTTCTCCAAAGACTGTTAAGCAAACTGCCAGTAGAGAATCACCCGTAGTGGTAGCACCATCTTTTCCTAAAACTTCCAGTGTTAAAGTGTGTAACAAGCTCAAAATAAGTGCAAGTGATTTAAATAAATTAAGGTAAAGTTACTCTTCTATAACTTTCATCATCCTCAATGACAAATGAGCATCTTTTGTTAGGTTTCGCACTGATTTATTTGAAGCGAAAAGTGCCGAGAACAAGGGTAACCTTCAAATATATGATGTTCGCGAAGATCCGGAACAAATTGCCAAAATGGGCGAAATATCAGAACTTCTCGTGGCGGGTGGTTACTTTCGGGCACGAATCAAAGGACTGCATAATTTTGACAAGGTTTGTAGTGTCATGTTATTTTGAAAAAATCTCTAAATTTCGTATTTTTATTCAGATTATCGGTGGAATGTGCTGGGCAATACAAATGTGCAATGTTGACCTTGATATTGACATCTTCTACCAGGAGACCTTGTCTATTGGACAGAAAATGTAAGGTTTTACATTAGGTTGTTGACTTTCAGAATTACTTTTATCTATATCCTCTGTAGTGCTTTAACGGAAAAGATTGTCCGCGTCTTGCAGAAGATGAAGTGCCCTTTCAAGCTTGAGCCCCATCAAATACAAGGTCTTGATTGCATTCACATTTTCCCTGTAATTCAGTGGCTAGTGAAGAAATCATTTGAAACTCGCCAACAAACCTCTGACTACATTCGAGCTTACGCAGCCTGGCAATTTAACCGACACTACAACCACAAAGACTCATCAAGCGGCTCTGTGATATTTTCAGATGCGGTAATGGCCAACCAGCTGGTTGATCCCATCAAGGCTCAACTTCGTCGGCGTTTTGTTCATCCAACGCGTGAAAAGTTGCAGGGGGAGGATGTGCGCACCAGGACCACCATGCTCGAGTACGGTGTTCTGGGCACTGGCTCTAGTCAACGACTAATCACCCAGTCAGGCTCAGATGCAAGGAGCCCCACCAAGGCGAACCAGTCGCAGGTTTCGCNGTTGCAGGGGGAGGATGTGCGCACCAGGACCACCATGCTCGAGTACGGTGTTCTGGGCACTGGCTCTAGTCAACGACTAATCACCCAGTCAGGCTCAGACGCAAGGAGCCCCACCAAGGCAAACCAATCGCAGGTTTCGTCCAGTCAGCAGAAGCCTCGATCGGAGTCTGACAGCCAGATGGTGGAAAACTTGCTAAGCTCTATGACTGAAATGGATGAAAATGAAGCATCAAACTTTGCCAAACTTTCTTCCTCCNAGATGGTGGAAAACTTGCTAAGCTCAATGACTGAAATGGATGAAAATGAAGCATCAAACTTTTCCAAACTTTCCTCCTCTTTTGTTGGCTCAATTCTCAGCGAAAATTCAGAGGAAATTAAAAGAATTGCTGAAGGGCTTGAAAAGAAAAATGCCACTGCTTTGAGCATTGATGCGCTCTTCTTGAAGAAGGAAGCTAAGCTCAAGAATGAAATTTCCATTCGTCGAGCCGAGTTGTCTAAACTGTCGCAATCAAATATTGATGAAAAGCTTCAAACAGTCAAAGTTTGTATAAAAAATTGCAAAACATTTAACCTAAGGAATAACTTTATTTTCAATCATTTAGGAAAAACTAGAAATGATAGACGGCAAGCTGAAAGAGACTGAAGAAATGGAGAAGAATGAGAGTTCTGAAATGAAAGCTGAAAAACTGCAAATAACTGAATTGCTCAGTGCTTTACGGAAGCAAAAAACCGAGCTTAAACAGTTTTGTCGTGATGAAAAGCAACGACTTGAAGCTCAAATTGAACTACTCGACAGCAAAAAGGCTGACAATCCTGAGCTTAGCGACAAAGTCAAAGCAATTGATAAGGACTTGCAAGTACACCAGGAAAGACATGATAGTATCAAGAAGAAGCTTGCTGACGTCAATAAAAGATACGTAACGCTTCAAAGGAAGTTTGACGATGTGCCCACCAGAACTGAACTGGGACAGTATCAAAAGCGCTTTCTTGAGCTGTACAATCAACGTAAGCAAGTTGAAGTGAGTATTTGACTCAAACTAATCATGACTAATTTTTCAGTGTCAAACAAACACAATGAAACAAAAAAGTTCTTCACTTTGTACAACATTTTGTCTGAAGAGCGCAGCTATCTGGAGAAAGAGTTCAACTTGATCAACTCAATTTTAGACAACTTTAAAAAGTAACATTTTACATGACTTGAAGATGACACTGAACTAATTTTTTATTGTTTTAGAGCTTACGTTTCAAGTGCAATGGTAAAAGAGGAGTTTGTTGTAAAGTTTGAACAAATTGTCGAGTCTATCATTCAAAACAAGACTAAAATACAACAACGACTAGCATTAGAAAAGACAAAGAGAGACCAGCTAAATACTGAATACATCGACTTAGTTGAGCAGCAACGACTTTACTTTAAGGCAGTTAAGGAGTTCAAAGAGGTAAGTGCATTTTACTAATTTTATACATTTTGAGACTGTGTTGGTAATTTATGACCTCCTGAACAAATTAGGAATGCAAGATAAATGAGCAATTGCTTGCCCGTTTGGAGAGCAGTTCTACCTGAGCGAGACAACCGTTATACTTCCACTCTCCGATTGACTCGGACTGAAACACATCACATAGAAAATGCGGAATGGCCAATTCCACTCATTCCATTGTGCAAGCTATATTTTTTATTAGCAGTTCAGTTTCCCATATGTTCTTTATTCTTAATGATGAAATAAATAAGTCATGCCTTCTTGATGATTCGTAATTCTCTCCTTCCTATCTCTCTCGTTTATTAGATTAGCGAGATCAGTGTTGCGTTCCATTACTGGTCGGCGTTCGGTAATCATCCTTATTGCTTTTGCTGTCTTCATCACGCTGTCGCCGGGCAAAGGAAAGGAAAATCTGCTCCAGATTCGTCTGGCAGACTGAGTAGTCCTCAATTTGCAGCGAGTGCTTTGCCCGCTCAATGGCGCCAAATATCTGGCTGCACTGCACCTCTCTGATGTCAGTGTTCTCAATAGTGT